AAGGGTACGTGGCGCCTGCTACGCATGTGCGGTCTGGCCGACTACGGCTACGAAAAGCCTCCGATCAGCGGCGCCGGGACGAGCCCGACACCTAGAGTGGAGCACCCACGGGGACCACTCGAAGAAGAAGAATGGTGGTTTTGGGGGATGGAGGGATTGCAAAGAACTTGGCAAACAACTATGGAGAAGAACTTGGAGTTAACTAATCTACTTATCTACAAAGAACTATTGAGGAACAAAAAGCACTGCAGAGGTCCATCTTGAGCTGGGGACGGTATGAAGGAACTGAGGGGAGGGTGGCTGCACATTCGTGGTAGTATCAGAGGGCGCCATGTGCCTTGCATGCCGCACATGCGCGACCCCCAATGCAATGCTAGGAAGAATCCACTCTGCAGCACTGAGACGCACTGACACTTGCTGTGGAGCAACTATCTAGATCTGAGAAGAGTGCAGAAAACTGCACAGCTCCATCTCAGGCTGAGGACAGTTGAGAAGGAACAGGAGAGCTCGGGATGCATATGTGTGCTACTGATGGGTATAGCATGCACCGTCGGCGCCATGCATGCATAGCCCACACAGGGACTGCTTGAAAAATCTCTGATCCAGGCATCTGGATGGCATCAAGACCAGACGTTGAGTATCCACGGTGACTTCTCTCAAAGAAGAACTAACAAATTAAATCCTAAAAAGCTAAATGAGCTCACAAAGTGAGTTAGGAGAAGTTATGCTGCACAAAGGCACATGCTGCAGGCATTCCAGCTCATGCTACAGTTAATAAGGAGCAGAGTAATAGTTCCACCCACTCCATCTCTTATCTCCCACCTATGATAGCCAAAGAGGTCTTTAGGACATCAGGTGGGGCCCTTACAGTTGCTGCTTTTCAAAAAGAATTGCAAACAATGAAGATCAGTGTGGACAATCACTCGACCGCTAGATCCCATACCTGATAAATTCCATTGATTGACAGATTCTGATTTACTGAATGTCACAGCAGTTGAGTCTCCATTAATGATATCCAGAAAAAAATCAGCAGGATTGTTGTATGGCTCACATTCATAGCCTGAAAAGAAATACTATCAGCTATCTAAAGTCATTCAATAGATGGGAGATATATTTTTCAATATTAAGGGTAATATTATTAAAACTTGTCTTACAGGGAAATCAGACACTCCACTATCAAAAGGGACCATCTATGTAACAAGTCAGCTTTACCAGAGGCAAAAGTAGAGTCAGCCAAAACTACAAAGTGTGTGGATCTTTGGTTCCAGAATTTTGATTCATTCCATTATGGCAAAGTTCAGATTTGGATTTGGAACATCATGTTTTTAAATGCTTGTCTAAAATGGGGCTTTGAATGAGACACTGAGTTGTCTGAAGTCTATCCAGACCAAACAGTGATAAATTTAGGGTGGCATAAACATCTAAAGGGTTTGTGGTCTTTATATTTGAGAATGTACCCATCACTTTTGACTGAAGTACATTACACTGGTTTACTGCTAAATCCCTGACTCCTTCTGGATTCCAGGGAAGCATTAGTAGTCTCAAGTATCTTTTCCATTTGGTTGTGAACATTTTTCTCTTTGATGAATCTCATCCATGCCTTTGTAATTTCCTTGTGGGATTCTCATACTATGTTTCATTTGGGACTAGACCATTTGGAAACAATACTTGGTTCAGAACTTGGCTCACTTAGGGTATGTCTACACTACCCTCCTAGTTCGAACTAGGAGGGTAATGTAGGCATACCGCACTTGCAAATGAAGCCCGGGATTTGAATTTCCCGGGCTTCATTTGCATAAACTGGGCGCCGCCATTTTTAAATCCCTGCTCGTTCGAACCCCGTGCCGCGCGGCTACACGCGGCACGAACTAGGTAGTTCGGACTAGGCTTCCTAGTCCAAACTACCGTTACTCCTCATTCCACGAGGAGTAACGGTAGTTCGGACTAGGAAGCCTAGTCCGAACTACCTAGTTCGTACCGCGTGTAGCCGCGCGGCACGGGGTTCGAACGAGCAGGGATTTAAAAATGGCGGCGCCCAGTTTATGCAAATGAAGCCCGGGAAATTCAAATCCCGGGCTTCATTTGCAAGTGCGGTATGCCTACATTACCCCACTAGTTCGAACTAGCGGGGTAGTGTAGACATACCCTTATTGAGCAGGGCAGACAGTACAGGGATCATTACAGGATTAATTCTCCAAGGTTTGAATAGGGTTCCTCATTCATTTTTGGATGCTGTGACAAGGTCCTTGACCAGGCCCCTTGCCCTGGGACCCCTTCTTCAGCCACAAATCACCAGGAGACCCTCTCTTGTGCAATCACCCATGGTTTTTTTTATTCCTTGTGCCAACTTCCCACCACCTTCTATTTACAAAGCTTGGTTATCCCAGCTAACTCAGCTACCTTCTCCTTCTAGCTGGAGTGCACACACACTCAGCTACTCTCTGGCTTCTCCCTCGCCCTCCTCTGGCTGCCTTATATAACCCTCTGGCTAATGAGGCCCATAGCTGCTTCCATTAGCCCTTCAGACATGGGCTTACTCAGCTAGCTGTAATTGACCTTTTCAGAGAGGCTGAAGTGGCAGAGCTCTGGTTTAGCCAGCAGCCTGTCACAATGCAATTCAAGGTTTTGATAGTAACATATCAAATTCTGCAAGATTTGGGACTCAGCAACCTAATAAATAACTTCTCTCTGTGTGTGCATTCTGTATAGGTGCAATAAGTTGCGGTGCTCTTGCTCAAAAGTAGTCCTGATATACAAACATCCAGGATTGCAGGCAGGATGTTATTAGTGGAGGGCCATTGACCATGGAGGTAAGTGCCCTCTAAGCTGTGTGGCTACACGGCCATGCAGGAGCCTATTAGCACCGTGCTGGGACTCAGGGATGTAGCAGGGAAAACATGCCTGCAACAACAGAGATTTGCCACAGTTGGAGGAGTAGCATCTCTCCCATGCAGCCCATGTGCTACTGTGGGAAAGAGAGACAGCTGAAGATAGTTCTCTCTCTGTGCTGTAGCCCCTGGGAACCCTGTACCCCAAACCCCTCATCCACGGCCTCATGCCAAAGCCTGCACCCCCAGCCAGAGCCCCCACTCTTCCTACACCACAACCCTCTGCCCCAACCCTGAGCCCCTCCTTCCCAGCAACATCCAAGAACTCTCTCCTACTTCAAACCCCAGTTTGTTGCCCCAGCCCAGCATCCTCAACCCCTCAGCCCTACCCCCACCACATGAATTTTGTTATGTGTACATTTAAGACTTTTTAATTAAGATATGTGGTTAGTAAACATGCAGTTGTTTAAAATATTAAAAACTGCTATATCTAATTGGTCATATCTCACAGTCCTTTTGATTCAAGCTCTACAGGAAGATAATGATTGTATACACTCACTTTGGTCTTGGGATCTAAAGCTTTATCATAGTCCATCATCTCAGAGGCCACAATGACAGATATCATCGCTTAAAAATAAACCGTTTTTGCTACATTTTTTTATACCAACTGCATTTTTAAACAAAATATCATTCCTTACTTATGCTGTAGGGGCCAGATCTTCTAAAGTATTTAGGTGCCTAACTATCTTTGAGATTCTGTGTCAAAATCAGTATACTGTGCTGAAAGACCAGATGCCAACATCAATACAATGTGCTGTAAGACCATCATTGTGACTTGAGCTCCCTATGAAAGCTCACCAATAGATTTGAAGTATTGTAGAGCATTCCGAGCAGGGCCATGGTACAACAGTTTTCCTGCAGCCAGTAACGTCAAGCTATCAAACAATCTGAATATGGAGAACCTGGGCTGATGGATTGAAAAGACTATTGTTTTCCCATGAGTTGACATCCTGAATGCACAAAAAAGAAAAAGGCATTAAATAGCTGCAATTGTCTCTTTTCTGTTATATTTTCTTTTTGCTATGAATGCCTAATAATACTCATAATCTGAAGTCAAGACAAGCATATCAGGTCAAAACCTGAGTTCCTTTCAATTTTTACTCAATCCTTACTTAAGTAAGGGCCCATTACCTTCAATAGTAGCTTGTTTAAGTAAAGTGCAGGACTATGTAGCACTTTAAAGACTAACAAGATGGTTTATTAGATGATGAGCTTTCGTGGGCCAGACCCACTTCCTCAGATCAAACAGTGGAAGAAAATAGTCACAACCATATATACCAAAGGATACAATTAAAAAAAATGAACACATATGAAAAGGACAAATCACATTTCAGAACAGAAGGGGGATGCGGGGGGGGGGAGGGGGGGGAAGAAGACTGGAGAGGGTCACTAGCCAAATGCAGTGGGGACAGGAACAGGAGTCAGGATGGCAAAGGAAGCAAGCAGAGGGGGGCAGGGACAGAAAGATAGTGGCTACACGCGGCACGGGCTAGATAGTTCGAACTATGTAGCCATTCTGATCTATCTGTACACCTCGTTCCACGAGTGATGTAAAAGGTCTTTGTAGCAGAATGCATGTGGTTAAGTCATTGAGAGAGTGTCCTTTCTGGTTAAAATGGCAAGAAACTGTTTTTTCTTTGTGATCTTGTCTGATATCTGTTTTGTGGGCATTAATCCTTTGGCGAAGTGTCTGAGACGTTTGTCCAATGTACATAGCAGACGGACACTTTCGGAACGATAGCATAAATTATATTTCTGGATGCGCATTCAATATTCTCTTGCTGACTTAATAGCTGAAATGAGGTGAAAGGCCATATATTTTCCAAAGAAAGATTTATAGAAAACACATTCTTGTATAACTACTTGTAACATCTCAGAAAAGCTGTATGTTGTTTCACAAGATATAACTGAGCAAACAAAACAGAAAAAAGTTTTAAAGGGCCAAATCCTAAGGCCCTTATTATGCTGAGCAAAGAGAAAGAGGGAAGAGTCGAGATTCTAACTTCCCAAAGCTACAGTCTAAGGACAAAGTAATTAAGTTACTGCAGAAGTATTTAAGTGTAAAGTAAAAGAACAAGTTAAAAATCACTTAGGAAAGTTAGATGTCAGCAAGTCACCAGGTCCTGATGAAATGCATCCCAGGATACTCAAGGAGCTGATAGAGGAGGTATCTGAGCCTTTAGCTATGATTTTTGAAAAATCATGGCAGACAGGGGAGATTCCAGAAGACTGGAAAAGGGCAAATATTGTGCCCATCTATAAAAAGGGGAATAAGAACAACCCAGGAAACTACAGACCGGTCAGTTTAACGTCTGTCCCAGGGAAGATAATGGAGCAGGTAATTAAGGAAATCATATGCAAACACTTGGAAGGTAATAAAGTGATAGGGAATAGCCAGCATGGGTTTATGAAGAACAAGTCATGCCAAACTAATCAGATAGCTTTCTTTGATAGGATAACGAGCCTTGTGGATAAGGGAGAAGCGGTGGATGTCATATACCTAGACTTTAGTAAGGCATTTGATACGGTCTCACATGATATTCTTATTGATAAACTAGGCAAATATAACTTAGATAGGGCCACGATAAGGTGGGTGCATAATTGGCTGGATAACCATAGTCAGAGACTTGTTGTTAACGGTGCTAAATCCTGCTGGAAAGGGATAACAAGTGGAGTTCCTCAAGGGTCTGTTTTGGGACCCGTACTGTTCAATATCTTCATCAATGATGTAGATATTGGGATAGAGAGTACGCTTATTAAGTTTGCAGATGATACCAAACTGGGTGGGGTTGCAACTTCTTTGGAGGATAGGGACATAATTCAAAATGACCTTAGCAAGTTAGAGAAATGGTCAGAGGTAAACAGGATGAGGTTTAATAAAGAGAAATGCAAAGTGCTCCACTTAGGAAGGAACAATCAGTTCCATACATACAAGATGGGAAGCGACTGTCTAGGAAGGAGCATGGCGGAAAGGGATCTAGGGGTCATAGTGGACCACAAGTTGAATATGAGTCAACAGTGTGATGCTGTTGCAAAAAAAGCAAATATGATTCTAGGTTGTATCAACAGGTGTGTTGTAAGCAAAACTCGTGAAGTCATTCTGCCGCTCTACTCTGCACTAGTTAGGCCTCAGCTGGAGTACTGTGTCCAGTTCTGGGCGCCACATTTCAAGAAAGATGTGGAGAAATTGGAAAGGGTACAGAGAAGAGCAACAAGAATGATTAAAGGTCTAGAGAACATGACCTATGAAGCCAGGCTTCATGAACTGGGCTTGTTTAGTTTGGAAAAAAGAAGATTAAGGGGGGACATGATAGCGGTTTTCAAATATCTAAAAGGGTGTCACAAGGAGGAAGGAGAAAATTTGTTCCTCTTGGTTTCTGAGGACAGGACAAGGAGTAATGGGCTTAAAGTGCAGCAGGGGAGGTTTAGATTGGACATTAGGAAAAAATTCCTAACTGTCAGGGTGGTCAAATATTGGAATAAATTGCCAAGGGAGGTGGTGGAATCTCCCTCTCTGGAGATATTTAAGAACAGGTTAGATAGACATCTGTCAGGGATGGTGTAGACAGAGCTTGATCCTGCCTTGAGGGCGGGGGGCTGGACTCGATGACCTCTCGAGGTCCCTTCCAGTCCTATGATTCTATATCTCTAT